ATCTCAGGAAATCCGGTAACTTCCGTTTGCTCCGCTACGGGTTGTCCATCGACAACATATGATATGCGTAACCTCATGCGAAGGGTAGCCTAAAAAGTTAAGAAAAAAATTGTCAATAATGATCTCTTAGTGGAAATGTGATAAATTATTTTGTGATTTATACGCACATTGGACGAACTGACAACACGCATCTCTTGCGTTATAACACCACCCGGCAGTAATACCGATCCAGAAGGCGATAGCATTTGTAGTGTGAATACTCTAGGAACTGCGGCCTGTGAAATTAGAAAGAATGTCAAAAATTAGAGAGGTTATTTACGAAATGTAGATTGCATAGTATGTATTGTAATGCATTAGCACTAGAACTTAATACATATTCTTCATGTGTATACGAGGGCAGGTTGATAAGTGTGGGGCAAAACCAAATATTTTCATTTATTTATTTTGTTTTAAGCGCTTAAGCATTTTTTTATTGCGTTTTTCTCGAAACGACTTTTTTCGCACTGGTGTACACGATATCTCCAAATCCGCTGAGCGGATCTTTATAGCACTGTTTAAAGCGCTTCATGAAAATCTATGTCGTTTCCTTCAAACCACGGTTATTTTTGCAAAAAAAAATTAAACAAGTCGTTTTTAAGCAAAAAACACAACCGGCTTTTCAATTTTCATATTAAAAAATTTAGGAGAACCGTTAATTTTTTCATGATCAAATGATCGGATCTAAAGCAAATTAATATGGGACAACCTGTGAGACACTACCTATCCGAAAGAAGTATCCAAATCGGTTAACGTGTTCCAAAGTTATGCGGTAACATATAAAAAAAAAATATAAAAAATATTCCGACGAATTGATAACCTTTACCTTTCTTGGAAGTCGGTAAAAAAGGGGCGTATTCTTGTTTTCATACGAATCGAAAATTGTGAAATTTTCCAATTATGTATTTTGTAACCAAAAATTTCAAATTTTCGGTTCGAACGAAAACAAGAACACGATCATTAATTTTTTTCCTGAAATTATTCTCAATTAATGAAGTTTTACCGATATTTTTAGCGAAATTTCTGCTTTATTTA